GAGTTGATTTGATTTGATTTGATTTGATTTGATTTGATTTGATTTGATTTGATTTTTATTCCGCCCATCTAGACCAAAGGTCTACTCTTCATATTAGCATTCATATAATGCTACTATTGTTACGACAGATATCATGCTGGACAGTATAAAAAATCCAATCCAGAAATGCATAGGCAACATGTTAGTAAACACAAAGCAGATCCTGAAATCTACACTGAAGAAAACTAAAAAATTAGATCAGCAGGAAGATGCAATAATGCAACAAAATATTCTAACAATTCTTGTCCTGAAGACAGAATGTCCCGTTTTGTTTTCCCAATGTGGGACATTTATCAAGCAAAATTCTGTCCTCATGTGGCTGCTATCAGACTTCATTTCACTGCCACACCAGTCAAAATCAATGCTTTAGGTACCTGCTTAAACAGTATCAATTACAACTGGATAGGAAAAAAAACCTGATTTGAACCCCAATTCATTTAATTGTCATAACATTGATCAGCTCTAATTTGACCCACATTGCTGAGGGAGGATGTAAGGGCAGATGCCCCCTAGACATTAAATTTAATATTGAATACACTTGGAAAAAATGTCAGCTGTTGCACAATCCATACTGAAAGATTTTTCTTTTTTCTCCCTTTCCTGGGAGTAATTAAAAGATGCTTTTCTTGACTAATGATCCCCCGTTTAGAAATGGGAAGTCGATATTCCTCCTGCAGCAGTCAGCTTCAATTTGTCACTCTGCTCCAGAAGTTTGAGAAGTGGTTCTCAGGGCTGTTTGGTAATTGCTGGAGCCAATTACAAGCTTTTTAAAGCTGACCTAATCAGTGGTCCACTGACAACAGTCAGAAGCCAGCTGGTCTTGTTTCTCTCATACTTTTAAAAACTTTTCCTCCTTTGTTTTCCCACTTTACAAACTTTCTATGCTTCTTTCTTTGTATAATCATACCAGTCAGAACCATAAATTTTAACTGTGTTCAGGAAACTGTAAAAACCAGAACGATTCAAAGTTGCTTTTGACAACTGAGTCTTTCAGATGCTGTTAATATTAATATTTTTTGTTTTCTTTTTCTTTTTAATGTTTTCTTACTTCAATTGCCATATTGTTACTATATAGCCAAGATTTTTAAGTTTTAGCTTGTAAACTGCTCAGAGTAGTGCATGCACTCATGGGGTGGTATATCAGTCAGTCAGTCAGTCAGTCAGTCAGTCAGTCAATCAATCAATCAATCAATCAATCAATCAAACAAACAAACAAACAAACAAACAAATGTCACAAGCTGTACTTGCTTACTTAAGATTTTTCTTCAGGATTATATCATAGCCATGCTTCAAAGTTCAGCATCATTCCCACTTTATTTTAGGATATAATGTGAGGCCTGTTTTTGACCACTAAGATATAAGGATATTGAATATTTAATATAAAGATTTTCAGTGCTGAAAACTTATGAATTATTTGTACTTCAGTAGTGTCATTTAAAATTACGAGAGTAAAGTTATGTGCCATACATTATTCAATGCCCAACTCCTGGAAACATACCATTTTCACGACCACATTCTAACTCCCAGATGGGTTCTGGGATGAAGATCTGTTAAGTTACTTGCAGCTTAATTTTTGATATGCCAGCAACCCTGTCTAGCCAAAGTCATAAGAGTCATAATCCTGCCCTATGCTTGTTCAGGTGGGAAAAAATATGAAAAGAGTACAACAAATGAGAGGGTGTCATGTAGCGGGAATAGAGGTATGATGAGCTGGAAATTGCATACAAACAACCCCCAAGGGGAGAGATGGGATGAAGAAAGGGCAAAGCCTAGGACAGTGCCTGAAATGTGGGTGGTGTTGGGAGGAAGAGAAGGGTGATGGAGCATCTCAGTGTTCCTTCTCAAAACACCATTTCGTCCCAAACAAGAATTTCATAGAAATTTAATATGTGAATATTTAATACATAAGAAATATTTCTCATTTAACTATTGGCTTTAATACACTGCATTAAAGGCATTTACTTCAAAATGGATCATTATAAAGTAATAAATTATTTTACAAGAGAAAATATACTTTCCCACTCCCATTAAAAATAATCTGCATATAGTTGATTTGTTAGTTTTGCTTCTTGATACTCTTAAGTGTAGATTGCATTTGTTCCTTCTCACTGACTTCCTTACTCCAAAGCCCCTTTTATTCCAACACATAGAAAAGACTCTGCTATAGCAATTAAATGCTCCCCCATCCTGCAAAATGACTGCACCTGCTCTGGTTAAAAAGGACTTTTTATTCCATCCAATTCAAGCTTTAAAAGGCTGGAGAAAATATTTATTCCTGTACTAATTCTGGAAACTTGTAATATCAGAGGGTTGCAGTATTTTAAGTGGCAATGCAGGATGACACATTGTGATAACTAACTGAAATTTTTTATTTCTCAGCAACTAAGCTTTATACTTTGAAAAGCTAGCATGCTATTAATTTATTTTTTTAAAAATTATTAATCATCTTTTCTGTTGATTTTATCCAAAGCTCCAAAAGCACAAAACACCCCAAAACATAATGAATTAATACATTAAAATAAACAGCTCAATTATATTAAACTATATTTGTAAAAGAATAGTGATTTTGTTTTGCTTTGTGTTGTTTCATTTTCTTTGCATTTGTGCTAAAAATTATAAAAGATGGCAAGGTGGTGGCTCTTTAGATTGTTCTAGGATTACAATGACAGAACAGAATAAATGCTGCTGTAGAAGCACAAGACCAAACTATGGAAAAACAAGGCATCCTGAGCAATGCACAGGCACTGGAACCTAAAATATCGGGTAGTTTGTCATGGAAATTTGCTGCTAAACATATGCCAAATGCAAATTATGTAGGATTAAAAGGAGGTAGCAACTAGGCCAAGAAGTTAATTGGAGGCCAGTATAGACAGGGACGTGGTGGCGCTGTGGGCTAAACCGCAGAAGCCTGTGCTGCAGGGTCAGAAGACCAAGCAGTCGTAAGATCGAATCTACGCGACGGAGTGAGCGCCTGTCACTTGTCCCAGCTCCCGCCAACCTAGCGGTTTGAAAGCATGCAAATGCAAGTAGATCAATAGGGACCACCTAGGTGGGAAGGTAACAGCGTTCTATGTCTAAGTTGCACTGGCCACGTGACCACGGAAGATTGTCTTCGGACAAACGCTCGCTCTATGGCTTGGAAATGGGGATGAGCACCGCCCCCTAGACTCGAACACGACGGACAAAACTTGTCAAGGGGAACCTTAACCTTTACCTTTTTATAGACAGGGAAGTACTGGATTCATGTGAACAAATTCTATTAGTACCATCAGCAACTAAATTCTGCAGCAGCTCAAGCTGTCAAACAATTTTACAGGAAACCCCTATAAAAATGCACTACAATAAGCTGTCAGTGCATAAACTGCAGTTACTTCAATTATAACAGAAGAAAACAAACATAACAGATTTGGTCCATTTCTACTATACATTGCAACCCATCTTGGCTCAAAGTAACTAGAAATGAGGGGGGTGATTTGGCATGAAATTGAAAGATTAGAGATTCAGCACATAATTAATGTAATTATGGAGTTCTGATGAACAACTCTCATATCTGCAGCTATGGCTGTGCTCTGAATAAAACAACTATTCACACAAACAACTGTTCATAAAACAACTACTGACAAAAATGGAGCAGGGGGGAGGGGGAGTAAAGAACATTGCCTTCTGTTGTTCGAAATTTCACAAAACCAGAGGCTGTTTTAAATCCAGAGGCCCATATCAAACATTAGTCCTTTTACATCATACATTAGTGGTGATTAATAAACCTTTTCCATTTCACTTGGTCAACTCCAGGTAGGATTTAAGCTGGATTCAGCCTTGGGCTATGTCCACCATTGTATGAACAGACTCCATTCTCATAACAGCATTTTCTGCTTCCTTCCTCTCCCATACTGCCATGCCCAATGTATTCTAGAGACCCTTCCAGCACTTAGCAGCAGCAACTGCATGGAGGTGATGACTTATTTTACTATAAGAAGTCTTCCCTTGGCACAGTGATGCCAAAGAATTCACACACAGCTCCTAAAAGTTAAAGAGCTTAATCCTGTCACACAGATCTCTATCTGCAGATAAGTTTCACCTGTTGCCTTTAAACTTCAGTTCCAATAGAATGATAAAAGTAGAGGCAATTCGGAAAAACTTTCTGCTGTCCATGTGCAACATTGCATAAAAGGCAGATTCCCTCCTGGGAAAAGACTAAGCCGCTGTAGCCTTGTGCAAGTTGCATGATCCCAGAACACCCCAGAAGATGGGAACAGTAAACCACATCTGTGTATTCTGTACCTAGAAGACAGTGGAAAGGGTTGCCATAAGTCAGAATTGATTTGATGACACACAGTTATTATTCCATTTTTAAACATCTGTACATTTCCTGAAGCACCCTACCTTGTGGAGTCTGGAGAGGGTTTAATGCGTCCCTGGGTGTTTTGTTCCCACACACTGTTTGCCAGCTCATTCCCAATGGAGGACATTACTTTGATGAGTTCTATAGGCCAATCATCCAAGTCAAGTGAGCGGACACGTGACAAGTGTGTGCCAAGGTTTCGGTGTATCCCTGAACATTCAATACACATGAGTGCTCCAAGATTTAAACTTGCCCAGTCCGGATCTGTGGAAAGAGGAAATGAGACAAAGAGAACAGATAAACCCTACAAAGAATCTGAACCTGAAGTATCTGAAGTGTTTGATGGAAAACTACATCACAGAGCTTCAAGTCTATAATTACAAAATAGATTTCATGGGAGAAGGGGAAGTCAACTTGGAATTATTATGGAAAACCATTATTACTGACACAAATTCCTGCAAGGTAGAACAATAGCAAGCTTGCCAGGTTTTCAAGCAAGATCATCCCCATCATCATTGTTCCTCCTGTGGACCTTGGGTTACTGAGTGACAAGGTTGATGCTCTTACAAAAAGGAAAAAGGGGAAAAAAGGCCAGAGCTGAATGAAATTAACTTTACAGTTGTTTATAAAAAGCTGACATGTTCCGTAGTGAAGCATTCCTTCATGAGTTGAGACTTTTGAGAACTCAGTGCCAAACATGGATGACCTTCTTGTTATAAAACTTTTTCAAATCACAACACAGCAGGAAAATTCTACATGTTTGAAGTAGAGTTTTTTTGAAAGTCTCAGCTTGTGAAGGGATGTTTCACTCAGCTTTTTGCAAACAACTATTCAATTCACTTCATTCAGCACCAGACATTTTATTCTGTTCTTTTTCTTGCTGATTTGATGCTGCTTTTCCTTCCTTATTGTCACTTATATGAAGAAATATATGCAACCTTTCAGCAATCATAGGTAAATATGATCACAAAGGAGATATTATGACAGGAAAAAAGTCTATAAAATTTAGTATGTGGATAAGTGAGCAAAGAGGAGCTCTATGACTCCAAGATAAGAACAAAAGCATTTTGAAAATTTTCAATTCTTCCAGTGAATTCTTCAGAATCAAAGCATGTTTTAAAAACCAACTATTGTGTAATCTTAAATTTTATTTTGCCAAGAATCTGTTGCACTGTGTCATTTTAGCCTGACAGTATAGATTCTACTTGTTTGTTGCTAACAGCTAATTTCTCACAAGGACTTTCAATGTGAAACTTCTAAACTGAAGCTGATTTCGTTACCAAATGTGAACGACAACTGATGTGAACTACCCATTGCCTGGTCTACAAAAAAATCTAAGTGTTAACTGTTCGCAAAAGTGTTGAAAAAAGTAGAACTGTGAGTATAATAAAAGGAATTTAATGGCCCAAATCTTATTGTGTAAGTTATACCTGTAGAAGTGTGATAACAGCACTAACAGGGAAATATTTTTAGTAATTGAAGCTTTTCTCCTTCTGTTCTGTAGGTTAGTTTACTTGTGATATGCTTCCTTGCATGGAAGAGTGGGACCAAAGGTAGACGTCCTTAATTACTGGAAATCTCTTCCTGCCACTGACATTAACCAGTAGCAGTGATTTTTTTTGTAATTAAATACTTCTTCCTTTGCTTTTATATCTTCTGTGGCTTTCACACATTGAAATGGATAACATCCAAGCCAAACAGGATGTTGTTATTTAGTTGTTAAGTCGTGTCCGACTCTTTGCGACTCCATAGACCAGAGCACGCCAGGCCCTCCTGTCTTCCACTGCCTCCTGGAGCTGGGTCAATTTCATGTTGTTTGCTTCGATGACACTGTCCATCCATCTCATCCTCTGTCGTCCCCTTCTCCTCTTGCCCTCACACTTTCCCATCATCAGAGTCTTTTCCAGGGAGTCTTCTCTTCTCATGAGATGGCCAAAGTATTGGAGCCTGAGCTTCAGGATCTGTCCTTCCAGTGAGCATTCGGGTTTGATTTCCTTCAAAATGGATAGGTTTGTTCTCTTTGCAGTCCAGGGGACTCTCAAGAGTGTCCTCCAGCACCACAGTTCAAAAGCATCAATTCTTTGGTGGTCAGCCTTCTTTATGGTCCAGCTCTCACTTCCATACATTGCTACTGGAGAAACCATAGCTTTGACTATGCATACCTTTCTCGGCAAGGTGATGTCTCTGCTTTTTAAAATGTTTTTAGGGTTTGACATTATTTTCCTCCCAAGAAGCAGGCGTCTTTTAATTTCGTGGCTGCTGTCTCCATCTGCAGTGATCGTGGAGCCCAAGAAAGTAAAATCTGCCACTGCCTCCATATCTTACCTTTCTATTTGCCAGGAGGTGATGGGACCAGTGGCCATGATCTTAGGGTTATTTTTTATGTTGAGCTTCAGACTATTTTTGGCACTCTCCTCTTTCACTCTCATTACGAGGTTCTTTAATTCCTCCTCACTTTCTGCCATCAGAGTGGTATCATCTGCATATCTGAGGTTGTTGATATTTCTTCCGGCAAGATGTAGGACAGAAGAAATAAGTCTTTAATTACTGAGTATCTCCCCTTGCATTGACATCACCACCTTTCTGCAGGCATAACTTATACAACAGGATTTTGTTATATAACATGATTTTGGCCATTGTGTGGTGAAAAATATTTGTAAATAACTGGAAGACTACTGTCTTTGAAAGGTTAGTAACATCACTAACTCCATCCCAGTAAAGCAGAAGAACTGCAGAGCCCATTTGCTAGACAAGATCTGAATGTTTTCAAGATTAAAAAATAAACAGAAAAGTGAACAGTACCTAGCCTTTTTATTGATAATATGTTGGATTCATAATTTGGCCCCCAGGAATGGCTTATTAAGAAATGGGGAAAGGCAGTTGCCTCTCAGGAAATTGCCCTACAATCCTCTATATTCTGAAAATAAGAACAATAGTGCTGGGGGGTCCTTCCAAACAACATGATATCTGGTGCAGGTGGCTTCCGTTGGAAGCAAAAATATCCTTTTCTCCTCCTACCTACTGGGTGGGGCCTATGGATTAGAACTCCGACACATGCTCTCACTGGCAAAAGGAAACTGGAACCAACCAAATGTTGGAACCATGAGATTTCATTCTTCAATTTAAGTATATGAAAGAATTGTGGGCTACCCTACCAATATTTCATTACTGCCATGCTGACAGTAAGCAAGATATGCACCATAAAGATAATAGATGAAACAGTTTCTATATGATAAGGTGTTAACTTGGCCAATACTCTGCTGTTAGTGCATTTTCAAAAGCACCAGATACACAACAGAGAAGAAAACAATAATTACTTTTCTAATACTATCCTGTCATTTTCTTTGTCATTAAACTGGAAAAAGAGAGCTTAAAAACCTATCAAAATTTCTTACTTTTTTTTCTTTTAGCACATTATAACTGACCATAAGAGCAGCATGTCAAGTTGAAAAGGAATGCAAAATGAAAAGGTCACTCTCCTCAAAAATGTACCAGGTCAATACTGACAAAAAGATGGATCTTAATCTAATCAACTGCATGTGCTAATTAGGATTTAATAAGAATATGCCACACAAATAAAATTCCACAGCGAACACTAACATCTAAAAGGAACACGGAATACAATACCAAGAGGGCAAGAAAAGGAACAGGTGTTCACATAACGCTGAACCAAAGAGATTGTAAGCTTTATGAAGCCCAGGATAATATTTCTTGTGTAAAAATGGTTGTACTTACTTTGTACCTCACAGTCCACACAGCGAGAATTGCCTCTGATGTTTCTTATTGACTGAAGGGCCATGGCCTCATTCTGACTTGTCAGTCGGGACTATATGTATTTAAAGAAACACACATACAAGAAGTAAGGAGCCAAAGAAAAGGCAGACACAACACTGCTGTCAGCTGGTGAAAAAGAGTTCAGACCCAGGTTGAATGAACATGAACATGAAATTTGATGTCTTTGGTAAGCTTCTCAGAGAGCTGATCCTTTAGCATCTTTAAGTAGTGCATTCAGTGTCTGACAAGCACTGCTCACAATTTTTATCCATGCTTCTGACAGCTCAAGCTGTTATTGAACCACAGGGGCATATAGAGTACAGGACGTCTAGAATCCAGCTGTGGTTGTCAGAGATAAAGCACATACAAAATTGAAGCATGTCATTATTATCCAAACCCATTCCTATACAGAGGCTCTGCAAAATTAAAAAGCTTTCTAAAAGCTGTAACATTTTAATTTCATAGTTATCAATAAACTGGAAAATGAGGAGGAGATTAAGCAATGATAAACAGAAATTTCTATCATCAAATGATCTGACCTGATCTAATGGTTGCATTGTAAACCTCTCTCTACAGTGGCCTGCAAGTGACCTCAACTTTGACCTGGAGACATAATTTCTACGGATAGTGACTTTCAGCCTCTATACCAGCTGTGTCCTGAACAAATTCAAATGTGTGGGATTATGAACCTCTTGCTATGGATTTCAGTGGGAGCCACATGACATTTCATGTAAGCTTGTTCCTAGATATACTATTATCTGGTTTGCCTCTTAATGATGTCCTAGTTCTTATTTTTTTATGCTTTACCAATTTTAAATTGGTGAAATTTCTGATGCTACTTTACCCTAAGGTATGATTGTATAATATACTGTAGCTGCCACACAAAAGTACAGTATTACATTAAATATTTATTTAATTGTTGTTAAATAAGGACAGTAAGACATTTGATTTCTTGCACATACTGTACAACACATTGAGCCTTGATTACAGCGAACAGGGAAACCAACTCAGTTTTCCCTAGCCAAGGAGAGAAGAACAAGAAAATGAAATACAATATGTAACAGCAAAATCAGTCATGACTAAGTCCTGTTGAAACAAAACAGAGCGGATTAATTGTAACTTGTTCTACTGGTTTCAATAGGACTCAGTGAGAACTCAGTATGATCAGGGGCTTAGAAAATGATACAATTTTCTGTAAAGCATCATATTAGAATATATGAGGTTTCCAGTTGACATTTGATGAAAAATTAACAATGCTGTTAAGTTGCCTTCTGATAGCTAAAGAATCATCACCAGAGAACAATATTTTCACAACTTTATTGGTACAATTGGGAGAATTAAGAACAAAAACCTTAAACAGAAATGTGTTGAAGCAGGTCTTTCTGCACAATACTATCTGAAGAATTCTTACTCTATTAAAGAGGAAGCAGTACACACATTTTCTGCCTATGTGGGAATACCAGAATATTTTAGGAAATTATAAGAAAAATACAGCTTTATTCTAAAAAATCATAATTGTAAACATTTGTACATACTTCTAAATATTAAAAATGAGTTTGTGATAAACAAAGCAAGTGTGCTAACAGACACAATAAACTGTTAACAAAAATAGCTTATTTAAAATCAGAAAACTGAAAAGGCAAAGTAATAAACATATCACCTTTTTAAAAAAAAAGGCAAAGGAAAGATACACACTGGGATAAAACAGCCAATCATCTATTGACGCAGTGCATCTAACCTTATTCTTGCTGCTCTCACATGATTGCAAGCTGGCCAGAATCTGGCTTTCTATAGCGTGGACCCAAGCATCTCTTTCTTCATATGTTGTAGCTTCAAAGTGCCAAGTCTGACCGGTAAGGGACACAATAATAAATTCAAAGTTTTCTTCTTGTTCTGAAAAAAAAGAGGAAGGTGAAGGTGAAGGTGAAAGAAAAGGACAGAGAAAAGGCAGAAGGGAGATTCAGAAGAGTAAAGAAACAAGTAGATGTGAAAGGGCCTTCCACAACCCTTTCTGCACTTTGTAAAAACTAAAAGCAACCTTACAGGGCTGTAGTTAGCACTGAAGAAGCAACAGTAAAGACGGGTGTGTAGCTTCTTATTTCCTTGGGGAGATGAAACACCAGTTCTTTATCAACTTGTAAAGTGAAGAAGGTCTCACTATCATTTTCTCCTCAGGAAGAAAATTTATGGAAGAGGTGGTTGATTTTTAGTAAACAAGTAAATAAATTAATAATCATGGATTGGTCAAGTCATTTCCGACTCATGGCAACTCTCTAGGGATTAAACAGTGTTCACCAGGCCCTCTTTCTGCTGGTGCTCTAGGATCACACAGCTTGTCCAAGGACAATGGAGGGGACAGAGTACCAAACCCCAATAGCCACATGCCCTGGGTGATCTTGGCTGGCCCCTAGTTTGGAAGTACAGTGAGTATTTCAACTCTGACTCCTTGGTCCCATAGCTGGGCACTCCAACCCGCTCAATTATACTAGCTCAAGTAAGCACTAAATATTTTTTGGAAGAATTGGTCCCATAGCTGGGCACTCCAACCCGCTTGGAAGAAAACAGCACTCCTCTACTTTAGTATGTGTGTGGCTAGGCACAGAGTGGGCTAGCCTAGCAGCACAGTCCACTGAAGAACAAGGGAATCATCACAGTCCACACTCATGATGCTTCTCAACTGCAAAGCTAGACCTATCCAAACTGATGGATGTGGAGGACCAGTGGCAGTAGTGAGGGAAAACACACTCCACATGGCATGAAAACATATACACACTTTATTATGTGTATACTGCTCATGTATACAATACATACACTCTTCAAATATGCACTGTGCTTAGGAATAATGACCCACAGTAATAAGGGAAGAGTACAAGCTTCATTTGTTAATTCCTAAAGAAAAATGGCAGTTAAGTAATAACACCTATCTCTGAGGATATCTAAAATGCTTTCCCCACTCTCATGTAAAACTAAATGCTATATATATAGTGAAGGGAGATTTAGTAGTTACATATCAGCTTCACATTGTTGCCAGAAACCTACAGTCAGAGATTATACATTTCAGACCTCTCAGCAGGCTTCCCTCAGACAGAAACTCTTCATAAATATAGTGTTTTGCAAGCACACACTTGTCTGATACCTGGGATTCTCCTGATTTAATTCATACCTAGACCTTGCCAGAGCAGCACAGAAATGAGACTATAATATGGAAACAGAGCTCATCTGAGCCTATGTAGAGCCTGTCTTTATCATCCTCCTTTACTAATACACAAAGACAGGTAGAAGCCAGAGTCTATATCTGTTGTCCAACGTGTTTGAGTGGTAGCTGGGACAGCCCAAAAGGCCTGAGTGATAGGCAGGGATCACCTCCCTTTCTCTTTATTTATTTATTTATTGCACTTATATGCCGTCCATCTAGACATAGTCTAATCTTGCAACCCATAAGGAACATGCTGAGTCTGGGGTGAGGAAAAGAGAGGAAAACTAGTCTCTGTACATGCAGCAGTCCATCTGCACTTCAACTCAATCTGAAAACGATATAAAAACCTGCCACAAGTCCCATTTTGGAAGAAAGGAGGGATGGAAATGAAGTAAATAAATCTAAGTTATAGAGAGCTCTATCAGACATCCAGTGGGGAAAAGGAATGGTTGGAGTGTCAATGCAGTTCAATAAATCTTAAATTGCAAGGAAACTGAAAGATCTGTAACCACTGAGTTGCTGAAATGGGTATATGCATGCTACAATATAAATAATTTAAAATAAATAATGAAATATCACTCTTCTTAGCATGCACAAAACTAAACTATTTTAGATATTTAATTTCAGCTAGAAGAAAATTTCAACCAGGTTTGTGTTCTACTACATATTAGTGCTGGAACCCACATTTTTCAGTGTGCATATTCATTTATTTATTTACATATTTGGCATTTTTCTCTCTTGAGAATCAAATATTCATGATTAAAGCTCAGATCAAAATTAGTGCTTGTTTTGCATATTCCAAAATTCCAAATACCGGTGTGTGTGTGTGTGTGTGTGTGTGTGTGTGTGGGGATTAAGCCTTTGGGAAAATTGAAGCATGGGCAAAATCTCACTACACACATACAGTCACTTAAGACAGTGGTTCCTAACCTTGAATAACCCAGGTGTTCTTTGACTGCAACTCCTAGAAACCTTCACCGCTAGTTGTGCTGCCCATGGTATCTGGGAGTTGCAGTCCAAGAACATTTGGGTCACCCAAGGTTGGGAACTGCTGATTTAAGACATATAAGGAAAATAAAGGAACGGAAAAAATTCCACTAGCTCAGGCCTCATTGGCAGAATTCCTCTTTGTGTAACTATACCCATATAAAAATGATGATGTCATCAACAGGGGCCATTTTCTTTTAATTACATGCTTCCTACTTCTGTCCTGCAGCTACTACAACCCCTATGTAATCCTGCAGAATGGCTTCCAAACAATGAAAGGAAATATACGGGAGCTGTGGGGGCCACAGGACAGAAGTAGGAAGTGTTCAGTTTATGAAAAATGTCCCCTGCTGATGACATTATCAGCCTTATGAACCAGACATAGGAAGAACCATGGTCATGGAAGTACTTTTCATTACACTTTTTCTTCCTTTTCTTTTTTTCTTTCTTTCTTTTCTTTTTGCAGGGGATAAGCCTTACAGGCAACTGGAGTCCACATGCAAGCAGCTGCCCCCAGCCATCAGCAAATTGTGCCAGGCCACATCATTTGATTGTTTGATGATTGGCAGTCTTTCCTACGAGAATTCTTATGAAGAGTTTAGTGGCAACAATGAAAGGTAACTAATCGGAGATGGGAAAGATGAAGTCCAAAGTTGTGAAAGCAAACAACCCCAGCCAGAATGTAAAGTTCTCAAGTAATTTTGCTTGCTTGTTGAATATGCCATTGTGCTTTCTAAGATCACCTAAAATGACTTACATTATACTTAAATGTAACAGTCTCAGATAGCAAAAGTGCTTTGTACAATGGATAATTATCCCATCCAGGTGGTGCTGAGGCAGGGAAGGTATGCTGTGAGCAAGAAGGCCCATGGAAATATATGCCAGGCAATTGTTGCCTGTCACATGTTCTGACTTCTCATCTCCCCAACAGGAATGTGATTACCCACTCAGACGCCCCTCTGGCCTGATGCTCCTACTGATGAATACCAGATCTGTTAACAATAAATTCCACTTTATTAATGATCTAATTAATGAGGAGAGTGCAGATCTGACCTGTATTACAGTGACCTGGGTGAGTAATGAGGGAGGGATTGCCCTATCCCAGATATGCCCTCCAGTTTCTTTGTATAGCATCAGGGGAGATCAAACGGGAGTTATTTACAGGTACCCCATTCATATAAGCAGGACAGCTGTGCTCTCGAGCCCTGGCCTGATATGTCTGCACCTGATGATGGGGCTCAGGGATAGGTTTGGGATAATGCTGGTGTACCTTCCCTGTGACGCACCACTCTCCCTGCCAGGTCTGGTCAAGTTCATCTTGTGTTGAGGTCTCCCAGGTTACTGTTAGCTGGGGTCTTTAACATCCATACTGAGTCCAAACTGCTGGAACTGGCCCTGAAGTTCATGGATTCCATGACAGCCATGAACCTATCCCAGCATGTCATCAGGCCACATTCTGGACCTGGTGCTCTTGGCGGAGTAAGCTGATAGTGATGATTTCCTGCCCACCATCATGGACAGATCACTTCCTGTGATTTGACCTGTCCACTGTGACCCCCATCTATGGGGAGAATGGACCTGTGAAATTGTTCCACCCTTGCAGGCTTCTCAACCCGGAGCTGTTTTTTGGAGGCCTTGGGAGGTTTCCAGCTGACCTGGTAGATGATCCTGTCAAAGCCCAAGCAGATTGCCAATACTCAGAGATGAACTGGGTGGCTGACACGATTTCCCCCAAATGCCCTCTCCACTTCAGAGCTCACCCTGTTCCTTGGTATACTGAGGGCCTATGAGCTATGAAGTTAGCAAGGAGACAGGTGGAGAGCAGGTGGAGGGACCAGACAGCACAAAATCTGACTGCTGTTAAGAACATGACCAGTAAGTATGCCAGCACCTTAAAGGCAATGAAAAGGATTTTTAACATTGAGATTACTGGGGAGGCTGCAAAGTGATAAGCAGAACTTTTCTCGGTGGTTCATGACCCGACTAACTCTGATCAATTACGGCCTCATTTTAATTTTTTCAGTGATCAATTTGCAGCTTTCTTCAGATCCAAAATTGAAACCATCTGTGCTGATCTTGACTCCACCAGCAATTTAGCAATTTTGGGCAGGGTACCACTGCTGCACCTAGTCTGACACAGTAATAGTGGAGGAAGTGTGCAGGCTGCTGGTGGGCTGCAAACCTACTACCTCTGTACTCTACCCAGCTTGGCTAATAAAGGCTGCCAATGGGACTAAGATGGACAGGGGCGTGACTACTATCAGCTCTGCACTGAGGGAGGGATTTCTTCCCTACATGAAAGAAACCATCATCTGGCCCATTATTAAATGCCCACAGTTGATACGAATGATCTTAATAATTTTCATCCGATTGCCAACATGCTTTACTTGGTTAAGGTGATTGAGCGGGTCATGGCTAACTAATTTTAGACAGAAGAGCAGAATTGCCTTGACCTGTTCTAGTTCAGATTCAGGTCGTGACTGGGTACTGAGACAATCCTAGTCACACTGCACGGTCACCTTTTAAGGGAGGCTGACAGGGGGCGCTGTACTCTGTTGGTCCTCTTTGACCTCTTAATGGCTTTTTATACTGTTGACCATGGTACCCTTTTGGACAGGTTCTTGGAGATTAATGTGGCCTAGCATTAAGCTTGCTTCAGTCCTTCCTCAAGGAGTGTGTCCAGAGAGTACAGTTTGTGGATGAATTGTCA